CCTTCAAGGTAACTATGTTGCCATTCAACTGAAATTTCAATGTTTGTGTTTTCTTGTTGGTTGTGATTGTGCCCAGCTTCTCCAACCATTGGATGCCATGATTCTGAGCTCCCTAAAGGAAGTATGAGGAAATCCTCAACAATCGAGACTCCTTGGAGGTCAAGCAAGACGCCCTTACAAACCCCTTCCCCTTGCACCGCTTCTCTAGTGCCAAGAGTCACCCCAAAACATCTAGATTCTATGGGATTTAAACCCAATTTCAGAGCCGCCTCACTAGAAATAAAATTATGAGTTGCCCCGGGACCAATCATCACCAATTGCATTCACCACACAAGCCACGCGCATGGTTTTAGGGCTAGTCAAGCCCATAACAGAGCACAGAGATACCTCCGGTGGAGAAATAGACTTTGGTGGAGGAGGAACAAACTCATCGGCGTTTGTTTCCACCACGGAGAGGTCGCCGGCATCGTCCCCGTCCACCTCTTCTTCCATGAGCAACACGCTCGGTCCTCGGCGATTGCAACGGTGGTTTATTGCCCATTTTTCATCACAACGGAAACACAGGCCTTGTTCCCGCTTCTGTTGGAGTTCCTTTTCCGACAACCGCCTAATTTCTCCGGTGTGTTTGAGGTTGTTAGAGGTGGTTCGGCTTGGGTGAAAGTGTTGGGGGTTCGAGCTTAGGGTCGTTGTGTTTTGGTTGCTGGTGAGGAGGTTAGTATTTGGGTTTGTATTTGGGCTGTTGTGTGGGCTAGGTCGTAAAGCTGGATTCAGGGTTCTCCAAGGGGAAGGCTGCCATGGGTTTTGGGCTTTGGGCTGATTCTCAATTTCTCTTCGACCCTCATTGCTAGCTCCATGGCATGATCTAGAGAAACCGGATCCAAGAGTCGGACCTCAACCCGAATTTCTTCCTTAAGTCCATTAAGGAATTGCCCCTTCGCAATCTCCTCAGGAACTCCATCAATTGGAGCTAAGAGCTCAATAAATCGCCGACGTACTCCGCCACGGTGCCGGTCTACTCGTGCAAGGTGCCTGTTGCGGTGGTTCTGAAGCGGCGGAGTAGGAGGCGTTTCAACGCGTCCCAGGAAGGCAAGGGTTGTCGCCTGTTCTCCCATTGAAACCAAAGCAAAGTGTCACCATCCAACGCCACCACGGCGGCTTCCAGCTTATCCTCCTCATTGAGCCGGTAAAAGTGGAAAAACCTCTCAGGAGGATCCACCCATCCGGATTCGTACCGTCAAAAATGGGCAAGTCAAGTTTCCTCAGTTTCCAATTCGATTGACCCCCCTATAACCTCCATCTCTGTAGTCCAGATGCTGCTGAGACGAAAATGGATTATCCCATTGGAAGACCCATTTCCCCTAAGAGGAGCGAAATTCTGAACGGAGTCTCTCCTGCCTAGCCGTGATCTGGGAGGTGAAATCTTTTTTGAAAGCCGCCATTGCGGTGGTGATTTCTTGAGCCACGCGTGAAGGCAACCCGAAAATTTCTTGCTCCAACAGGTCCAGGCGTTGACCATGATTAAGGCGAGCCATCTTCCGTCCCGGCTTGGATCGTTACTGCTCTGATACCAAATTTGCTAGGAATTGGTATAAACCAATAGCTAAGCAAGCTAAGAGAGACAAACAATGGCAGCCAGGAAATGAATTGTATTCTCAAACAGAGTGTTCAACAATACAGCCTTCTTTCGAGAGGAAGGAGCTCTCCAGACCACTTGATTAATTAATTGCTTGATACATTCCCCCTCCACCAAGCCCCTATTAATACCCACAATTAACTCATGAAATAAGCTTAAACACAGCTAAAGCATGCCAGCAACAATAACAAACTCATAACAAACTTTTCTATAGATTACTATTATACCCTCCACCCCAAAACTGGTATTAACAGCCATCCAGCTCAGCAAAGCCTCCAGCTAATTCTTCTTGGGCCTTCTAGCATAGGTGAAACGGAGATCGGTTTTAGGTTTTAGGTCGGTTCCTTGCATATAACCGAACCACTTTAGCTTATACCTTAATCTAGAAATTAAAATTAAGCATATATGAAGATATGGATTAAATCTCTAGAGACAATCTAGATTATAACTCGTAGTTATAATTGTAAAATATCTATGTTATATTTTTTTTATCATTTAATGAACTTAAAGTTCCATGTCATTTAATCTCGGTGTAGTATTAAATTAATGTCCAAATTTAATCAGTAAATTTCAAATAGGTCATTGAGATGATGTCTTAGATAAAGGAACCTTATAAAGTGAACCGGAGATTTTAGAGTAAAGAAGTTCCTAACCTAAATCACCGAAAATGGACATTAATAATCTTTAAATGGATTGGTTTGCATGTTGTTTTATAGTGTTGTATCATGGGCTAGTTGACAAAGTTGTCATAAATCAATTGCATGGATACAAAATAAGAACTTGTATTGGACATACCATCATAAAATGTTGTAAGAATTAAAATTTCACAAACATATCTCATTAAACTATCATAGAATGTTGCTTATCTAAGTAGTTCATTATTTGTTACAACTGGATTAGTATACTTTGACATTGCTAAACTTCGTACAGAAAAAGGAGATAATAAAGGCAGTGCTCGAAATTTAGAAAGATAGAATTGAATGTACAAGATTGGGATTGTCCTTTGAATATTAGGATCATTGTCTTATGGCCTCTCGAAGAGTGCAAAATGTGAAATACATACCCGCACTCAAATAGAATATTGAATAAATAATTGTCTTGATCGTTTAACTCATGGGTTCTAGATAAGGATATCTGGTAATCCTTCCTTATGTTCAAATAAAAATAAAGACAATAAGAGGGAATAAATATGTACATTTGTTTAAAGTACAAGTGGGAGATTATTAAATTATAGTCATTAGACAATGTACATAACTCTAATTAATAGTTTATTGGATTATATTCGAACTTCGATTTAATAATCAATATGTTTAGCAAGAAACTACAGTTGATTAGTAAGTTTAATGTAATTGGCTTACAGATTAACTTAAACTGATCTTACGCAAACACAAGATGGACTGACCGAATTAGTATTGAGTGGGCCACATGAAACAAGGCCATCACCGGCAGTGGGCGTGGTAGTCCAACCATGTATATAAAGGAAAAATAAGTCTTCCTTGATTCAATAAAAAATTGGTAAAGCAATAATAGGTAATTAGATGTATAGAAAATTGGTAAATTCAATTAAACGTACATTATAGAGTTCTTCCTCTTCCAATTGATATAGGCTGTCACGTTTCTTGTGGCAATATAGTGTGTGTACAAGCCGTTAGAGGGATCCTAACCCGATCGAATCTCTATCAAAAAGGCACGCATCAAAAGGTATATTAATAGTCCCATTAGATTCATAGTCAATGTGTGTATAGATTCTTTTGATGTTTTTCTACAAAATAAATTTATATCAAAACCCAACAGGGGGAGTCATCTTACAGGTTATTTTTCGGCCTAATTATTACTATATAATTCGAATACACAAATTATCGATACCTAATTATGTGGTACCATAGTTCAATAATGATTTTAAATCCAAAGTTCCTTTTCTACTATTTCGTCAATAGCAGATTATTCTAGTTTTGTTTGTAGACCAGTGTTAATAACTAGATCAATTAATAATATCACCAATGTATAAAAATGCTTAAGGCAATGAGACAATAAAGCCACAAAGGAAATGACGCGCTTTGATGTGCCTATTTAAAGCGAGGTGCACAATAAACAGCTACGAAAACTTGCTTATGCGTGCCACAAATGCACCTCAAGTGTGCCTCACGCACGCCTCGATGAATGCATGAGCCTCGCCAAGAGCGAAAAACCCTAATCATTTAGTGCCTAGGCACACCTTTAAATACACTGAATATCACATAATTCGAACAATATATTTATAATTAGACTAAAATATAATGTTTAAGATGGTTATTGATACCACAGTTAAGATTGGAATTAAATACATATACAGATTATACACATTAATTACAAACCTAATAGGATTATTAATATGGCTTTTAGTACATGCCTCTTTGATGAAGATTGAATTATCCCAATTGCAATCCCTCTAACGGCAGGCACACGCACAATCAAGCCGTATATTAACCTCTCTTTCTCATTCTCACAGGGATGAAAATGTAAATCTTATTGAAATCAATAATGTTCAATACATCTAAAGATATTATTTCTTAACCGACTTTTTAGTAAATCAAAGGAGGCTTGTTCTTCCTTTATTGACATAATTGTACAGCCACACTCACACACGCAACCTAGGGCCTTGCAATGGCCTTGTTTCATTTGACCCAATCAATTCTAATTCAGCATAGTCCATACTTGCGTGTGCAACTCTATACGATTATAAGCCCAAATGCCTAATTACATTAGACTTTCTAAGCAATAGTTGTTTCCGGCTAAACATATTGATTACCTAATTAAACTTATTAGAATAAAGTTCATATCCAATCCAATAAACTATTAATTAGAGTTATACTTCTAATGGAGGATAAAGTATTGGGCCAATCTACTAGTCACAAAATGGACGAACAAAACAACTTAAATCTTTTACCATGGACTTTCAAGATTATTATTCAACGCAGTACCTTTTAAGGCCATGTTTGGCAAAACGCATTGTGGGGGTAGTTGATGGTTGTGGTAGTAGCTCCTACATTACTCGTGCTAAACACTCAAACTTTTTATTAAGTAGTGGTTTGAATTGGTCAAACCACTCAAAACTAGTTCCGAACACGACCAAAGTCAAATGTGCAAATTCATCAAAAGGTACTCAAGACAAACATAATGCACATTAGAAAGCTACATCTTTTACCGCCTACAACGCAATGATTATAGTGATTGATTGAATGCAATATAATGATTATAGTGTGTTTTCGACAATAGGGTCAGACAGGCATTAGAAGCAATAGCATATCATTTTTGACACAATAATCAGGAATACAAAGGCAGAATAAACATATTTCATTAAAGGAGTTGAGGAAGGTTGATTGCATACCATGTTTCTCAGAAGTAAAACTCGGGTAGGAGGCCCATTAAAGTTGACACTCTTGACCTTCTTCTCTTGCTGCTGCTGCTGTTGTTGCTGTTGTTGCTGCTTAGTTTCACTAGCGTTGACAATAACCCCAGCTCTCCTATCAGTCTTCTTGGCCATCAAAGGAGTAGTAATTCCTTGCTCCAACTTCCCCAAACCCTGCCCTTGCTTCCACCCCATTTTCGCCATCATTCTCTGTGCCGCGGTCATTTGCCCTCCCGCCCCTACACCCAATCCAACCGTATCCGATTTCCCAATAGCAAACCCATCCACACTCCCACCTGGAGGAGACGGGGAACGAGGCGGCTGCCCACCATGACTCCCACCACCACCACTACTACTCATTGCAGCCCGCCGCCTCCACGCCTCCTCCCCAGAAATACCCACTTTACTATCCCTCTCACTCCTCTCCTTCTCTCTCTCCTCCTCCTCCTGCTGCCGCCTCTCGAGCTCCCGCTTCAACTCCGCCTCCCTCGCTCGCCTCTTCTTCTCTCTTCTATACTCCTCGTAATCGTTGGGCCTCAATGGATCGTACTCCTCAACTACAGATGAAGTCACCCCCACCAATGCCGGTTGCAGGGCCTCTGATGGAGGGTCTTCCGCAGGTACGGAAGCTAGGGTTTTAACTGGTTTGGGCTTGCTGATAATCGCCTGAGATCGCATGATAGAAGGCGGTGTAGTGAACGCTGGCTTTCGAAGCGTCGGAGGAGCCATCTTTGCGCTGCTTGACCATACAGCGCTAGCCGACGGGTTAGCGGGTTTTTCATCCTCCGTAGTTGACGACGGTGGCGGAAGATCGCCGTATAAACCACCCAACATCTTTTTTTTATGATATAGTTCTATATAGGAAGTAATTAATTTTTTGGGAGAGAATAATAATTAAATCAAAGTGATTAACTTAGTTTATTGAGAATTTGATAAGGTGGTAAGCGGGCTATGGTTTGGTGATAAAAAAAGGAGCAGAAACCGAGAGTATAATTCTTCACCCATATGGCCAAATAGGTAATTCCCAGGACTCATTTGGTTACATTTGAAAATTATGCCCCGTTCTGTTCACCTTATTTCCACTTATTTCAGAAAATAGATAATTATAGATAAGGGTTAATAAGTTCAGGAAAAATAAATTCAGATAATATAAGTTCAGGAAAAATAAGTTCAGATAAGTTGTGATAAGGATTAATTAGGGCTACCCAAGTTCAATTTATAACTAAAATAAATTCAGATAAGTTCAGATAAGATCAGATAAATTAAAAGCAGGTGCATAGAACGCACCCTGATACTCATACAAATTGTACTTCCTTCATTTCGTATTAACTGCCACACTCTCCTTTTACATCCGTTTCATATTATTTGGAAAGGATCCACCATTAGTTTATAATTTCTCTCACCCACTAACCCCACTTTCACAAATATATTATTATTTCTCTTTTCTACCAACCCCACTTATACTAATTTTTTTTATTATTTTTCTCTCCTACTAACAATACTTCATTCGTCCCATAATACATGAGACGTTAGACTTTTTTTCACTATTTATGCATTAGGTTTGACCATGATTTTTTACTAACATAATAAAAATATATTCACTACAAAAAAAAATGAGAATAGGCAACACACAAAATTGCAACAATATGACAAATGTTGTCTTTTGTAGTAAAAGGCAACAATTTTTGTTTGTTGCTTTGATCTCAAACAATGTATAATACATTACGATGTAACGGTTTGAAAAGTGTTGCTATAGAGTATGTAAGACAACAATATGTAAAATGTAGTCTTTTTTTAACATAAGGCAACATTTTTTTCAAATTGTTGCCCTAAAAAGATAACAACTATAAAATTGTTGCCTATTAAACTATTTTAAAAAGGTTGTTTCAAGGTGTTAATAAATGTTTATTGTAATTAAAATTTTCACTAGTCAACTTAGCAAACACCCAGGAGCACCAAATATCTTTTTATTTTTTTATTTATATATATATATATATATAATTTAACTCTTTTACCAACCTACTTTCACAACTTTTTATATTGTTTTTTATTCTCTCCCATCAACAATAAGATATATACGCATTTGCTATATTTTATACTAGTAGTATTTAAAATCTTACTATGTTCCCTACCCTATACTATAATATTTATAATATAAAACTTCGAGTAATGTTCACTATAATGATTAGTTCAAAGAGGGAAACTAAATTTATTTTGTTAAGTCATAAAAGAGTAATTCAATAAGCTTTACAATTCATATTAAGCATAATGCATACAATTACGAGTATATATATTGTACTTCCTCCATTCTTTTGACTTATATCATTTATCATGGTTGTCGATGCATAACTTGAATCATCAATAAATTTAATTATCAATAAGTAAAATATAAAAATTTAATATTATGATATTCGTAATATTTATTAATACAATCGATTCGAATAAGATCCCACATAAATCTATTTTTAACTCACAAAAAAAATAGTCAAAGGAGGGGATAAATAATAAAAGTCATACTAGGTCTAAGTATAAAAAATGAAAGAATATAATGATGGTCAACTATGAGCCCAAGCGCTCAACCAACATATAAAACTAATCAACTAAATTAATGTACTACTTTTTAAAAAACATATACTTGCTTCGTTTTTGTACTTGCAATACATATTTTTTCGTAATATTTAAGAAAAGTAGACCTCACATAATTTAACACACGTAAAATGAAGGTGACCAAAATCATAAGAAAAAAAACGAGATAGGACTATGAACTTAAACATTTACTTTCATAAAAAAAAAACCCGAAAACAAAGACCGCCTTCTGAATTCATCTCCAAACCGGAAAACCCGCCAACAAGGTGAAATTTTCTGCATCCAACACTTTCCCACCACTACAAATCACTTATTCACTTTTTATTTCTTGATCTGCTTTTTCTCTACTCGCGTGGGTACGTTACATAGCTTCATTTTTATCTCATGTTAGATCGAGTTGATTAAGTACATATTATTTTGGAATTAATTAGTTGATTTGCTATATAATCAAACTAATTCCTTTGTTTTCAAGATTGGCTAGTCGGGTTTGATGTCGGAGAAGTCGTCGTTGTTCTCCGAATTCCATTTGTAAGTCACCATTGCCCCATTTATCTCTCAAGTGAATTTTTTTTATTTTTTATAATTGGTTAAATTTGATGCTGGATATTTTTTCAATGACTAATACATACTATTTTGTTTTGGATTTGATTATAAAATTTTCATCTTTAAATCTCATTGATAATGAATGTATTATATGCATGTTATTCATTGTATTTGTGGGTTTTCATCAGATGATGTAAGTTAGGCATACAAAGCAATTTTTAGTGGAGTTTGAATGAAAAAAGTAATTTTGGATATAAAAACCCAAATTAACGAATATATATAGACTAATTTTTTTTTACTCCTTGTCAGTGGCGGACCCACATGTAGTCATTGTGGGTCCGGTGACACACTATTATTTTTGGGAAAAAAAACTTAAACAATTAGTCACGCCTCTCTCTTCTCCCATAGACCCAGAAAGCCCTAATTCCCGAAAAAACAACAGAACACGCTTCCCCTCTCTCTCTCTCCTCCATTGAAGCATCAAGCATACTCGCAAAAACTCCATTAAAGGGGCTTTTGAGCTTTCTCTCCTCCACCGAAGCAATCTCAAAGGTTAGATCTTCTTTTTCTGTAATTATTAACCTAATTTAATTAATTAATTGTCAGATTTTGTCACAATATACTCAATTTAGGGTTCTTCGAATTTTGATAATTGTGGGTTGATAAATGAGTCAATCGTTCGAATTTTGATAATTGAGTCAATTGAATTTTACTGATTGTGGGTTGATAATTGCAGGGTTTGGCAGTTGGCACTCGAAATTCTCCATTGAAGGCTTGAAGCAGGCAATTGGCTTCGTACTTTCAGAGGCTCTGACTCTGAGCTTTCGCTCCTCCATTGAAGCAGCCTACTGCCTGTCTGCCTACAGGTTAGATCTTGAATTCTTGACAATCTAGTGTAGACGTGTAGTAGTGTACTGCTATTGTGTATTTGTGTAATTTGTTTTTGTTAATTGTGTATTTAATTGTAGTGCTATTGTGTATTTGTCAAATTTGTGTATATGTGTAATTCAGTATATACCTATTTTAGGGAATTAGGGTGGCTTCGGTGGTGGTGCAGCCGGCAAGGGTATTGCAGATTTTTGTTGTAGTGCTATGTCGTTTAATATTAGTAATTGTTTATGATAAAAATTGTGGTGTATATAGCCTGAACTTGGGATCACTGTATATTTAGAGTATAAGATTCGGGGCATAATTGGCTTTTTATTATTTACACAAGACAAGAAACTTTTAGTGGAGAGATAATAATTCAACTTCCATTATAATTCTTCCTATTTTGGAATAATCTTTTTTATTGTCTTAGTAAACTGAACTAGTGCAAATAGGTAGTGATTATGCGGGCTGGGTGTCGTGGCTCAAAACAAGATGGAAGGATTGTGTGGACTACTTTATGATGCATGTCAGATATGCAGCAGAGCAAGGTTTAGGCTCCTTGTGGCTCGTATATTGAGTTTGAAAAGAATACGGTTGGAAGGAGATGCAATTTCTGTGTTTTTTAGGTTAATTCTAGCACTAGAATTGCTGTTAGAAGTTCTGTAAACTACATCGTGCAGGGAAATTGGGCGAAATTGGTTGTGGGATTAGCTATCAAAGAGGCCAACTTTACCTATATTTTTCTCCAAGTGACAAACCCTTTACACTACTTGTTAATTTAGGCATGTTTTATAACCTGCTGAAGTTGATTTGTTGGTAGAAAAAAAAGTAATTACAGAGTGTGATGGATTAATAATTTGACTTTATAAAAGAAGGGCCAACGAAAATGGGTGATAGTTGTTTGTATGATATTTCTTACAGTGTTCATTAATAGCATGGGAGATCAAATGCTGAATGATTGTTTGATTACTTATCTAGAAAGAGATTTGTTTTACAATGTTAGCATGGATGATATTGTACATCGTTATAGAACAATTGTAATAAAATTAGTACTTTTTTAGTTGTAATATGAATTTGCATTACTTTATGAAATGAACTTTTTTATGAATTTTTTTTGTTCATTATTCAAGTTTTGACTATTTTTTTGATAATTTATGCGGTCGGTGGATGATGATGGGACAACCAATTATTTAAATCCTAGATCTGCCACTGCTCCTTGTGCGGAATAAGGTAAAAGCTAGGTGTGTGTTAAACGAGAGTTAAGAGTGTTGAATTGTATGGAATTTGTTGTAATTGGGATGACATCAAATTTCTAAAATCATGCTATAATTTTTGGTACTCAGATTATTGTAATAACTGGTAATAACTTTAGTGTTTGATAAAATTGGAAATTTTCAGAATCCAAGGACACAAATAGGATGAAGAGTACCAAATTGATGAACAACAACTAGCTAGTTGAGTTGACTTTCCGAATTAGCTAGTTATAAAAATCAAGAATCTCCATTCAGAAACCAAAAAATGCATGATTATAATCCTATATGCCACCTTCTACATTTCAAAGTTAACATTAGGCTAATTTCTATTAGGAGTTTACATAAGTATAATACGTCTATATACTATATTACTTGATATTTCTCAAGTAATTACAACTCAGCTAAATCCTATTTTGTGGCATGTCTTGGAACTATGAAGCATGAATTTATATGATGGATTAAGATAGCATCTATAGGCATAAATAAATATGAGTAGTCATGCTAGTATTATTTATTTACACTTATGCAGGATGATAGAAGTTCTCTTGTTTTCTCTTAAATAAAACTGACTTCTCATGTTTTTGTGATCAAAACAAAAGGAAGTCAGACTACTGATTTGCTTACAAAAAAAAAAAAAAAAAGAGTTTCTAAATTACGAATTCTCGAAACTATAAGTCAGTCACTCACTCAATTTGATTGATTATCAACTCAC